TCACCTGGTCAGCGGATCACAATCGTTGTTGATCAGCTGACCGGAGAGCAGCTCCAAGTCGACCACCGTTCCCTCCAGCTCTGCTGCCCCGATCGGAGGACAGCTGCTCTGCTGGAGGTTTCTGTGTCCCCAGCCTGACGTCTCTGAGCAGCTCCAAACAAACTCATGAGAGAAGATTAAACACGATTAAGCCTGAAGGACGTTCTTTTGTAGAAAACTAAATAATCAAACTTGAGAAAACACAGCGTGGACTAGAGAAGCTACAGATGTAAGTAGAGACATTACTCACAATACAAATACATAAACTAAGACAGGCCTAGAACACTAAAGGGAAAACTGATTCTGAAAACTCATGAACGTGAAGCGTTGCAGTCGATACCGAAACTGAAGAAGCACAAACTGTTGAGAAAAGACATGTTTCAGATGACGGCGACAGTCTTGTTCAGACACTGCAGAAGAAAGATTACCTTTCAGGTAGAAACACAGATTGTTCCTCCTCTCTGCAGATGCACATCGAGTCCCATTTGTCCATAAGCATCCAGTTTGGTGTTACACACAGAAAGCCAGTGTTGGCCACACCAACACTCAAAACGGCCACGTGTCAAGAAGCCACACGTTCCCGTTTGGATTTTAATACCTTTTAACACCATTTTTATTATATTAACATCGTCTCACGTATTTTGCAGAATTTGATTCTGAAAACAAAGCACATCTATAAACCCTCTGAAGAAAGTTAAACACCAACCATTCAAAGTGAGACAACCACCAACAGAAGGACTTGAAAACCTGTCAGAAATGACTCAGACCTGTTCCATTTATTAGCTCCCAAACAGCAGCAGCTCTTCAGTCATTATATCGTAGCTGTAACACTGCAGCTTCAGTTTGGTTTCATGTGTTTGCATGTAAACAAACTGTGGATGCTGCAGGGGGCGCTGTGGGACGTATAGACAGTTTGACCACGACGAATGCAGCAGCGTCACTGCAGGTGTGAGGACACAGGTGAGATCACCTGTCTGCAGCCTTCATCATCCTCATCATCCCCGTTCTGTTCAACACGCTGAAACAACTCCAACATGGTCCCAAACAATAAGACGAAAACCGTTTACAAGTTGTCCAAAGTCCCTAAACATTTGTCTGGACTGACTCAAAATGACACACAAAACTACGTCTAATCAATGTTTGTCCAAAGTAACTTCAAACCTCCAAAATTATTCCAAACATACAATTAAAAATTCCTGGAAACAAAACATGACAAACGGTTGTTCAAGATTGCTCAGTGGTTGTCTAGAATCACTCAGTGTGTCCAAAGTTACCCAAAGTTTGTCTGAAATCACTTCAAGACTTTTCAGAATGACTCCAAACGGGTGTGATGGTGGTTTAATATTAGTTCAAATGGCTGGATTGTTCAGAGGACGCTCCAAAACTACAACACTGTTAAAACAACTCTAAATGGAGCAAAACAACTACGATGGTTCACGAATTGTCCAAATTCTGAAATTTGTTCAAGCTGATTAAAAATGACAAAAGAATGCGTCCAGAATAACTTCAACCTGTCAAATGATTTAGTCTAATACAGTGTCGTTACTCAATACGGGAAATATGACAGAGAATTTAGACATGACAAACATCTGTCCAGGATGACCCAGAATGATTTGGTATTTGTCCTCGAGTCCAAACACGTCGGCTGGCAGAGACGGACCGGCAGGGAAAGCAGTCTGAGGTCCCGTGTGGCGGCGAGTCGGCACACTGGCCTGCGTTTGTGTCCTCCATTTTGTCTCTGTGTATTTGTCCTGCAGCAAATGCGTCAGAAGAGCAAGCAGCTGGCCAAGATGGAGGCCACGCAGAAGCTGGAGCAGGTGAAGAACGAGCAGCGGCAGCAGCAGCTCCTGGCCAGCCAGCGTCTGTCCGGATGCCTGTCCCCCGACAGCCCCGCCCACCAGCCCGTCTCTGGGGGCAACGCCTCCCCACTGCACCCCCCTCCGCCCAGGGAGGGGCCGCCGCGGCAGGCCGACGACGTCTTCCTGCGACCGCAGGCCCCTCCCCCCTCCGGCTTCTCCTCGCTGCCTCACTCCCCGCTGCCCTCCTCGCCGCTCCACCAGCCGCCGTCCTCCCCCCAGATGTTCTCCCCACCATCCTCCCGCCCCTCTTCGCCCTGGGATCCCTACAGTAAGATCGCAGGGACTCCTCGCCCCGCCTCCTCGCAGGCCGGAGCTCCGCCCCCCCAGCAGCAGCGACGCAACTCCCTGAGCGCCTCTCCAGCCCACGAAGCCACGAGCTCCCCGGGACCGCCTCCCGACCCCAAGACCTCCGACGCCTGCAGACCCCAACCAGGTAACACTCTCCTCCTCTTTCCTCCTAACGTCTCCTCCTCCTCCTCCTCCTCTCTCCTCCTAACTTCTCCTCCTCCTCATCTTCCTAACGTCTCCTCCTAACTTCTCCTCCTCCTCTCTCTCCTCCTCCTCTCTCCTCCTCTCTCTTCCTAACTTCTCCTCCTCCTCTTTCCTCCTAACGTCTCCTCCTCCTCTCTCTCCTCCTAACGTCTCCTCTCTCTCCTCCTCCTCTCTCCTCCTCTCTCTTCCTAACTTCTCCTCCTCCTCTCTCTCTCCTCCTCTCTCTTCCTAACGTCTCCTCCTCTCTCTCTCCTCCTCTCTCTTCCTAACGTCTCCTCCTCCTCTCTCTCCTCCTCCTCTCCTCTGCTCCTCTCTCTCCTCCTAACGTCTCCTCTCTCTCCACCTCCTCTCCTCTCCTCTCCTCCCAGGCCTGCAGCAGCAGAGCAGGGCGGGTATGATGAGCCCCCCCGGTGTGTCTGACCTCCGCCACGTTGGCGTCCGGCCGGCCGAGTCGTTCCAGCGGTTCGGTCGTCCCGGCGAGCTGGGCGCCGTGTTCAAGGCCCCGATGCCTCCCCAGCAGGAGGCGTTTGGCTGCAGCGGAGGAGGACGACGGGACCCGTCCAGGCCCCCGGACCAGGGCTTTGGCCTCCCCCAGTCGCAGGAGCCTCCGTTCCCCTCCAGCCCCCTGTCGGGCCTGGGCTCCCCCCACCGCAGCCCGTACGCCCCCCGACCGGACTACGGCCAGCAGGCGTCGGACTCCTTCTCCCCCCTGAGCCCCTACACCAGCCCCCAGACGCCCGGCACGCCTCGGCCCCACTCTGACCCCGCCTACCTGCCCGCCCCACCTGCGCTCAGACTGGACCAGTTCGGCCAGCAGCCGGCCGGCCGGCGCCCATCCCCCTCTCACCCGTCCCTGGACCCCTACGCCTCCAACCCGGGAACGCCCCGGCCCTCCGAGCGCTTCCCTCGATCCCCGGGCGGTCAGCGGAGCTCCGACCCTTACTCGCAGCCCGCTGGGACGCCTCGCCCCTCACCGGACCCATACGCCCAGCAGCCCTCCACGCCGCGGGCCCAGAAGGCCCATGAGCCCTTCGGCCAGACACCGGCAGAGAGCTTCACTCCTCAGCCGGCGGGGTCCAGTTCCTCCCCTTTGGGTCCAGGAGAGCCGGGCGCATTCACTGCAACACCTCACCAGGTAGCAGACACACACAAGGTCCGAGTAACCGTCACAGCAGAACACACGGGTTCTTGTGGCTGTAGGATGTTGTAGCAGCAGTAACTGTAAGGTCCGTGTCCCAGCTCTGGTCATGACCGTCCCCTTTTACACTCACATGGAAACACGCTGCCAACATGCAGAAACCAGGACCTGGCTGTGTAGAACATCGGACTGGGGCCAATAAACAACTGGCTTAGGAATGATCTCAGACAGGTTTAATTGTTCCGTTATGAGTTGCCAGTTTGAACATATTTCTGAATAGTTTCAATCAAATTACAGGTTATTTTGGGAAAGTGTTGCAGAACCCTGAATAAGCTCAAAGTGATTTTGGGTCGTTTTGAGGTTTGATACGTTTTGGACAGATTTCGAGATGTTTGGAAAAGTCTGGAGTGATGTCAGCTGTTTGTTGTATGACTTTGAATTAACAAGACTTCACTGTATTCAGGAGGTTCTAACCTGAACCCTGTACTTCCTGTTTCCAGAATCAAATTCTAAGGTATCTGAAACGATGCTATTAAAATGAAAACTGGTGCTAAAAGACATTCAGAGAAACCCAGAGCTGTGAAGGTGGCCTGTAAGTTATGCCACATTTGATGCTTGACTGACAGTTTGATCTGTTTTAGTCTAGGTTTAGGTTTGAATCTCACACTAACATGCAAATGTAGTCGAATCCACAGTGGGTAGCGTAGCATAGCGTCGCTAGCTAGCTAGCTCACGTTAACAGCAGGCAGAGAAAGGAAAGGTGCGCTTAACACAGCAGAGCATAACACAGATTGACTTTGGACCTTTCTGCTGTTGCTGTTAATCTTTAAATCAGTACATTAGCCCTGATCAACGCCCAGTCAGTGCTGTTGGGTGTAGATGGTGCAGCTCATGGTACAGATCCTGCTGCTGGTATTTAGTTCACTCAGAGGAAAGACTCTGATGGACTTAGACAAATACTGTTGCTGAAATGTGAAGTCTTCCTTAAATCGCTTCACTCGCCTCCACGTGCTGCTGTTGGTGCGTCTTTATCTGTTGAGAGTGACCCCGCGAGTCGGACTTGTGTTGACAGGAGTTCTGATTTGTCTCCTCTCTGCTGCAGCAGTCTCCGGGCCGACAGCAGCAGGACTCATTTCCCAGAACCCCCAGCAGCCAGACCCCAAAGCACACCGGGATGTCAGAGGAGGGCGGCTTCTCGGGTTTGGCTGCTCAGACTGCAGGTCACGACCCCTTTGAACAGGGTCACATGACACCAGGCCCGTTGCAGACAGACAAGATGGCAACCAATGACATGTCAGTGGGTGTGGCTTCCTTAGATGGACCAATGAGCATGCTGCCTCAGCTTGGTGACTCTGAGGAGAAGCTGAGACAGGTAGGACAGGTGTTCACAATGCCTTCTCTCATGTCACGTTTTGTTGTGTCGCTCTGTGGTGCACGTCCACAGCGGCGCCGCCATCAGACGCTCGGTAGGCACCACTCGCCAGCTGCAGTCACAAGATGCTTTACAAAGAGTTCAATGTTCAAAGCAACAATAAAACTCAAACACCAAAATATGCAAAGAAAGAATAAAAGCAAGGTTTGTAATGAACTGACCGTTAATCGATTAAATGGAATTAATGATTGAAGTCATTACAGATATCTGAATTGATGATGCAGCTGCTGAATAAGGTTGTGCATGTCGGAAAACGTATTGTAGATGAGCTGCAGTACCTGGTTGTTCCACCAGGTGGAAGCAGTAGCTAGCAACAGGCACCAAAGACTTCTGTGGAGGTTTGAAGAAGTCAGAAAAATCTGGTCAAAACAAAACTAAAGCTCAACTGTTGTCGACGTGTGCGTGATTACGATTGGTGGCAGCAGGAGAGCGATGCTGTGGACGCCTGCCATCGTGTGTTTGGGTGTCTGTTCTCACCTCTGTGGTTCTGAGTGGTTCAGCAGGTTCTGTGTTCCGTCTGCTCCTGCAGCGTCAGCGGCTGCGACAGCTCATCCTCAGGCAGCAGCAGCAGAAGAGCGCCTTACGGCAGGAGAAGGGTCTGCAGGAGGCAGCTCCTGCCGCTCCGCCCGGCGCCGCTCCGGGTTCTGCCACGGCGCTCCACAGCTGGTCCCAGGAGGACTCCGCCGCGCTTCCATCAGATCTGTTTGGACGCCCTCCACCCCCCTACCCCGGCACAGTGCGGTCCGGCGGGGCTCCAGCTCCGAGGTTTCCTGGAGGATTCCCAGGGGAGCAGCAGAGGGGCTTCACCCCCAGCGAGGGTCCCTTTCCGAGGCAGAGCCTCCCCAGAGAGCTGGCTGTCCGAGGACCCGCCCTGAGGTGAGAGGAGCAGCAAAGACCTGGGCCGAACCACTCTTACATCTGATCTGTTGGGCTCATTTCTGCTCTCCTCCCCAGATTTGGTGTTCCTCCTGGCGCTCCAGCGGGCCTCGAGGACTCCTTCCTGCGTCTGCCCCAGGGATCGATGCCAGCGCCTGGGATCGGTGCGGTGGAGGGAGTCCCTGTCCAGATGAGGAGGCCAATGCCCGGAGAGCTCACTGGCATTCGACCTCTTGCACCTCCCAACACTCACCCAAACATGATACCAGGTGAGGACAACACGAGGCTCCTGATGGTGTAGATGCTGAACAGCCTCCACACACCCTCAGACAGTTTGGTCGTTGTGTGTCTGTTCTTTGTGTTGTGTTGTTGTTGTGTTTTTTAGTGTTTTCACCCTTGTTTGTGTCATTTTGTGTTGGTTTTGCTTCAGTCGTTGTGTATCGGTTCAGTTGCTTTGTGTCTTGTTTGTCTCGGTTTGTGCGGTTTCACTGTTGGTCACAGCTGATCCAGTCATGGACGATCAGTGGGACTTTTTGGGTTTTTACTGAATCTGATGCAAACTGCTTTTTTTTAAGACTTTTTAAACTAGATGTAAAATAATGCGATTTTGAGCTCCGATTAGTTTTCCTGAGGTGCCTCATGTGATGCAGGAAGAACGAGTCATTTGCGGGGGTTTTCAAAGATCAGATGCGTTTCCAAGCTGCTGGTGGGTTTTAGGGTTCAGAGGGTTGAACTCGATGCGCAGGAATGTTGCGACAAAGTAGAATCAAATAGAAGTGATGCACCTTTAACCTTCAAACCCACGGAGCTGTAATGAAAGCGCTTGTGTTCAGTTTGTGGCTGCAGTACTTTTAAAGGCTCTGCTCCCCCCTCAGGTGTCCCCCAGCCCTTCCTCCCCCGCTCCCTCCCCATCCAGCAGCACAGCATCATGGGACAGCCCTACATCGAGCTTCGGCATCGCGCTCCAGAGAACCGCCTGAGGCTGCCCTTCCCTTCGCCCGCGACCCCGGACCCCGAGGCCCCCCTGCTGCACCCCAGAGACCCCCAGCCGCCGGCAGTCAGGCCCGGTGCAGCGGCCCGGATGGCGGACACGCTGATGGGCCAGCAGATGGGGATGGCGGGCAGCGGCGTGGAGCAGCTGAACCCGCAGCACATCGGTCACGCAGCAGCGCTGACTCAGGGTGGCGAGGCAGCACTCCCCGGGGCTGATGGGATGGAGGAGCATCTGGAGGGGGAGGACTCGGCCGTGAAGGATCTGGAGGACGTGGAGGTGAAGGATCTGGTCGACCTCAACCTGAACCTCGACCCTGAAGACGGTACAAACACACGTCATCCTGCTCAGATCCTCAGAAGCTAACCGCTCTGAAGTTGTTTATTCAGTTTCTCCTGTCACATCTCTGTTTGCTCATTTAAAAACATCAGCATTAGTTCAGCCGGCAACACGTCGCTGCACCGCGCTTCTGAAGTGTATTACAAGACAGTAATCAGATTACTTCTAAGATGAACACGAGTAGTTCTTCTAAATAAAGTTGTCAAAATGACTTGAAACTTGTCTTAAATGACAGAATCTGTTCCAAGTCATTTGAAAGTCGATCCAACAGGACTCCAGATTTGCTCACAAAGAGTCAGAACTTGTCCCACCAGGACCTGGACAGTGTGAGTCCTGGTCTGAGTCCAGCAGAACCCAGAGAAAGGTAGAGCAG